CTAAACGCACGACCTCGATGGTTAGACTGTGGTAAGTTGTCTCAACCAGCGTACCTCATAGTCTTTCAGAACGCGCTAGGTAAAAAGCTAGAACCAACCCCATCTGATAAAATCATTCAGCACTGGTCACTTATCAAGAATTTTCTGCGTTCTGCTGGCTTAACTGACACGTCTTGTCACTACACCCCGGATTTTCGCTGAGTCTCTGAGCCTTCTTGATGCACACCGGTCAATTCTGACCGACAGCAAACGATGGCTGCTGCAGACTGGAGGAAGCCACGTGGAGGTGAGGCTTGAATAAATGCACACAGCAATTAGGTCTTGCGGGTTGGGTTCCAAAAGACTCCGTAACCGGATAGTTAGAGACACTGAAGGTCATGGCAGCAAATCGACTGCAGGGGCGATCTTGCTGTCACTTCTTATCAAACAAGAATGCTTGAAAGCGTGTGTATGCACAATCGGACTGTTTACTTTGAGTGCTGACCAGAGAGGTTCGCTTTGTTTTACCGTCTCTAAAAATAAGCCCGATCCCCATCCAATTTGCGCATTCTCACTTACCATGTATGTATTATGGGTTTGGCAGCGATCAATAATGTTTGCTTCACTGTATTACGCTGTATAGTGATGATGGTGATAGTGCATCACGTTTGAACTACGGTAGGTGGTTTCAGAAGGTTTGTTCAACAGGACTGATTGAGGGTAAATAATTTTGGTCTCAATACTGTATGCTCTGTTCTTGGAAGTGAATCTTTGTTTTCGCTATGCATGGGTGTGGGAGTTTGATTCTCTTTGCGGTATTCATTCTTCTTTGTGCTAGTTGTTACATATACTTTTGTTCCACATTTTCCACTTGCTCTAGCTATTCCGACCAAAGACCCGAGTGTGATTCCCACGCCAGCCAAACCGGAAGCAACACCTATTGCTCGCCCATTAAAACCGCGACTTCTTCGACCGATTTTGCCTCGGGAACGTACTGTGGTCGATCGACTAATCGACGCACTGGTCGGTGATGGTCCCGATAGGCGTTATGCGTTGATTTGTCAGGAATGTTCTTCACACAACGGCATGGCTCTACAGGAAGAGTTTGAGTATCTTGGTAAGTTCAGTTCAGCTTAAACGATAATTAGCTGTGCATTATCATGCGTATATTTTGGTTGTTGTCTTTTGGTTGCCTTTTTGGATGGAGGAGCAGGGGGGGGGGATTCTAATTTTGTTAACAGTGTAGGGTTATTATTACAGAGTTCCATTAGGTTAAGGTTGCGAGAATATCGAGTAAATGCGCGAGCGTCACTGTTCAGGACACAGCCATGTCACGCAGTGTTGCTAACCATCGATTAGTTTGATCCCCAAGGTCCCCATCCGGGAAGCCTAATGGGACCTATGTAGATAAGTTTCCTGGTTAGGGTTTTCATGCTATCAAGTTCTCTCAGTTTAACCACCCTCTACTTCGTAAGCGCAAGCGACTAATCTTGTTTTTTAAATGTGCGCACCGGATATTTATCTACATCTTGCCTTGCGATGAGTCACGTGGATTTATGTACAGTCCCAATTTTTACAACCAGTAACTACACACTTTCGTGTGGCGGTTTTGGTTGTTGTCTTTAGACTGCCCGTTTGAGTAAAAGAGCAGAAGAAAGATATGGTTTGCAGCAACTGATGGCGTTGGAAACTGTTGCCATTGCAACTGGTAGATGATTTCGATGGCTAGTTGGTGCGGTTGATGACCGGAGCGTTTGTTTGTAAGTAATTTTACGAAATTCTATTTCAAGGGATTTTGAACGACAGTCCCTCAGCCATCTACAGCATGCATAAACCAGGAGATCGAAATCGGACTGTAAATCTATGCCAAGATTCATATTCTAAGCGTCTTTTCTGATGCAAATCAAACGAAAAGTAAGCAGAAATAGAAGTACAGCTAAAGTTATTCAGTCTAAGAGTGAGAAAGATGCTTGTCTTTTGAAAAGCTGCTTGGAGTTGGGTGCCTGCGTTTTCATCTTGACGGTAGGATACGTTTTTCAATCTCACTCAGCAATTTTCACGTCATTACCCGGTAGCCTCCATCGCATTAGTTACATTTTCATCCAAGTTCCATTTTTTCATCAAGGGCATAGTTTTGGGGATGATCTTTAGCAGAGCGACCAATAGCAAGTGTATATATATATTACAATAAGTAGTATATGAATGACTAGACAAAATTTCCCTGCAAGCACGCAGTCGGTTTCGCGGTTCTTGCCGCTCGTCAGGCATGCGTATCCGGTAATTTTGTGTAAGTTCTTGAAAAGTTTCTCGAGCTTGGGAGACTCCACGAAAGTGACTCAGTGACACCTAACTACGTTTCAATTTACTACGGCTGGCTCCTTGGGGAGGGCAAGCCGGCTTCATGATGATCATTATGTTTCTTGGGAATTTGACACAAGAGGCACTTCCGATGTCCCTCTACCTTTTTATTTCGAGGGTCCATCAATAAACCTTACCCTTCCGAGTGTGAAGTGCTAGGCAACTGTGAATCTATGCACGGTTGCTAATGGTTCGTTAGGAGTTCAATCGTCATTCAACCGTTTCAGATCCATGCATTCCTGTTAGTATGTCACGTTTTCTGTGTCCGTCCTGTCCTCCAGTAGATTTCGCCCCCTCCACACTCTGGAGTAGCTGTCGCCGTACGCCCTCTGTTCGAGGTTTTACGCTTCCGCTACTCTCAATCAAGTAAGCCTTCCTGTCGAGTGGTTTCTTAAAATACGACTGTTAGTGCATGCCTCATTTTATTGTGGCCGCAGCTGAGGATTGGGTAAGTGATGAAAACCAAAATGGTGATGGATGCTCCAGGCATAAAACAGTGTCAAATCAAAGGCGCCACTCTCATCAAATACTCCTTTTACCCCCCGGCTGACTCACAATCATAGTTCGTTCAAAAGCTCAAGCGACACTCGTTAGAACTGTTGCTCCTTTAGGCAATCGGTTTTTACATTCAATGCAGTGCAGAATGTCAAACACTCCTGCAAGGAATCCTGAATGAGAGGAACTGAGTGTAAAGTGGTGTTCGTCAGGGTTGCCCTCTCTCTCCTTTTCTATTTAACTTTATTATAGATTTGATTATGGAGACAGCCCTATCCTCGTGCGAGGATAGTGGCATCGATTTACAGGTGGCAGACTGATCTGGAGTATGCAAATGACATCGTGCTGCTAGGTGAAGATCTAGGTAAGCTGCAAGCTTCTCTGGATAGTGTGGCTATGTTCGGTATGCGTTTTTCACCTTCAAAATGCAGAATGTTACTTCAAGACTGGGTTGGCTCAGCACCCAGCCTCACTCTAACTGGGGAAGTAATAGAGCAAATGAAAAAGTTTTGTTATTTGGGCAGCTACGTTTCACCCGGTGGATGCATCACGGGTGAAGTGTCAGCTCGCATACAGAAGGCTCGAATAGCATTTGCTAACTTGAGACAACTGTGGCGCCATCGGGATATCCGGCTGTCTGTGGAGGGTCGAGTGTATGCCGCGGCAGTTCGGCCAGTTCTGCTATACGGCGCAGAAACTTGGCCAATAAGAAAACAGGATAAAGATAGACTGTCGGTGTTTGAACACCGGTGTCTACGCAGCATTGCACGAATCTGGTGGGGCAGCCGGACGAGCAATGTCGAGGTAAAGCGTAGAGTTTTAGCTCATCGCGGTCGCCCACTAGAACAAATGGTCGACCTCCATAGATTACGGTGGGGCATGTGTTACGCATGCCACCAATAGGTTACCACGGTGAGCGATGTTTGCTGAGGTAGATGGTGGGTGGAATAAAGTCAAGGGNTCAAGGGTGGTCAAGCTAAGATCTGGCGCGATGGTATGAATTGCCTAACCAGGGGACTGGGTCACATAAGTCGCGTTAGGCTCCCTGGCTGGGGACCTCGGGATGATCGTAATCGATGGTTAAAGACAGTGATATGGCTGGGTGTTGTAAGCAATGGCGCTCATGCATCTTCTCAATTTCTTTCCAACATTAGTCCATTTGATTTCTCCATTTTCTATTCGACTTTACTTTCAGCTTTCTTGTCTTTCTCCTACAGTTCATCTAAATGGGTGACCAAAAAGACAGCAACCAAAACCGGCACACGATAGTGCATGCTTAATGGTTGTACAAAATGAACTGAAAACCGAAGTCAGTTGAAGAAATTATTTCCCCGAATAAATTTGAATAGGACCAGCAGTGTTATGCAAAATCTCTGCTGCACCGACATTTTTTTCGGATTTCAGTTATTTCATACGCATTACAAACGGGCTTTATATATGTTAATAGGGTATGGTGACAAATAGATTCAACTTGTTCGCAAAACAGCCTAACTACTTTCTCAACACTTTTTCTCCTAATCCGAATACAGATGGGTGGGATTAGT